AGTCAGATCGGAATTGACCACACACACGTACTACGTGTACGTACAAACGTGAACAAGGATGTATGTGGATGTGTGCATGCGTATCTAACAATAAGCCTATGATAAAAATAATTGCGTCTCCATACAGCAAATTGTTACAAATTGCAACAATAATCCCGATGTTTCGTCAAATTTTACACTATAGCATATCATCATATTAGATTTTTGATTGTTGTTTTGTTAGTTTTGTCAGTATATTGCTGATAAAATATGAAAATCTTTTGGCTTTGGGAATTGATTCTCCTATTATCAGAATATTGCACAAAATGTATTAATTTGAAAAGATGGAAGATGCTTCTCTTATATATTTAATAGAGAAACAAGTATTATTGATATTGATAGATAAACAAATAACTTTGTTTTTTCCAAAAAGCCAATATTTTGACGGGATATTTTATATTCCGGCCGTTTGAGATTAGGATTTATTAGAGTAAAATAAAAGGCAGTATAATATATGTATATATATCATACATTAAAGTTTCGTATCTAATCAACGAAGTGACGAGATGGCATCGATTGGAGTTTCTCAATTTTATTTTTTCCCAAAGCAAAAAGAAAGACGTGAATCACACGAATTTAATGAACACGACTGCAGAAGATTCGCAGCTACGATGTATGTATAGAAATAACTCGGAAAGAGACAGTAAAAAAACGCGGCTCTGTTGACTGACAGTACCCCATCCATATACAGACAATATGTTTATACTAGACTGATAATGAATTCATGCTTGCGTGGGGCAAGCTACTTGTGAACAGGTTGCAGGAGCATTACGGATCGGTTCGCACAGATGCTCTTTTGTCGGCAGATGAGTGAGAGCCCAAGGGATAACGTTGGATGATATCAGATCTGTTGGATCGATATAAGAATCAGGGGAATCGGGATAAAACACACTTACACACACACACATGTATGTAGTGAGGTATTGCGTGAGTGTGATACGCAGCCGGGAAATCCCACGGGTCCCAATGGGAAACCATCCACGGGGCTTAATGACAATTCTGGCTATTCTATATCGCTCAAACGCTCGTTTGCGCTCGTTTGTATGTACAATCATTGGTACTTAAGCATGTATACCCACAAAATGGCGACGTTAATAGTCAAAGTTAAGAGAGTGATCGCGAAAATGCGCGAGTTTCTGAAATAATAGGAAAATTTCGATAAATATTGTAATAAAATTTTGACTGACGAATTATGATCCTTAGTTGAGCATACTAGGTAGAATGCAAATCAAGATACAAATTTCACCGTTGTGAATTCCGTTGAGAAGCGGAAGCGCGGAGCACGAACAATGAAAGAATTTAAAAAATAAAAACAGAATAGCTTTACTTATATGATGTAATAAAGAAATAGACTAAATTCGATTAGTTTGAGGAATCAGATCTCTAAAATATAAATAAGGTTGATAATTTTGCCATTGATTTTTTAATACAAGAATGCCCAATATCTGGATAGAACACTGCAAAATCGTAATAAGATCAAAATGACATAAAGTCATTTTAAGAAAAATTATTGTTGTCTCATTCACAAACACTTTTGACGAAGATTTTGTGATGAATTCTTGATGTAATAATAATTTCTTAATTAATCATGACATTATAATAATTTTAAATAATTTTTTAACTAAAAAGTCACTTAAAAATCATTGTCATAATAAGAATTCACAAAAACATTGTCAAAAGTGTATCAAATAACACAATTTTTCCTAAAAAGACTCTCTCTCTCTCTCTCTTCATTGATGTTATCTTGATTTTAATATGATTATGTATTCTATACTTAGGTATTTGGAACATATTTCCATAGTAAAAAGATCAATGGCTGCGTTCAGCAAAAAAAGCAGCTTTGTAACTGTTGTAAAATTCTTTAATATGATTGGGTCTTACCCTTAGCTCCTCATTTGATCTAAATGTATAAACCAATCATATTCAAGAATTTTACAACAGTTGCAAAGCTGCTTTTTCTGCTGAACGCAGCCATTGGCATTAAAGACATCAACTCTATATTTTAAAAATCTTATTCCTCAAAAGGAATTCAAATTCAAGCTATTTCAATATTACACCATACAGGCAAATCTATTCTGTTTTCATTTATTAAAAAAAATTTCTTCTCTCTCTTTTCATGCTCCACGGTACCGCTTCTCACACACGCAGATTATCTTTGAAATAAAATCTTCTACCTGGAAAATGTATTAGATTATTGTATACGCATGAAAAATAAAACTGTACTGTACCTACGAAATACGTCGAGGAGTTAATACCTTTTTAATTGGATTCTATTAAAGAGAAGGTTTTGAAAGAGATTATGCTTCCTAAATGAAGACTATATGAAGACGCAAAGGGAATAGTAGGAAAGAACTCGACAGCATTGCATACTATTGTACACGTAACGGTTATCTAGCGGGAAAATTTGTGATTGCTATTTAGTTCAACATGTGGGCGTTTTGGATAAAGTTTCTTTACCCATCCGCCGAGTGGCAGCTCGAGGATAACGGAAGAATTTTGAATATCCGAACGTAGGTAATATTGCGATAATGGTAATGTATCGACTTGAATTTAACGCCATATGAAATAATTTAATATGTTCTATGCCGATTAGAACGATCATGAAATATATTTCACAAAAACGATGTATAATGTATAAATATAATAAGAAAGTATAATGTGTTTCGAAAAAGTATTATGTCCAATATTTAAAAATATTTAAAAAAATTTTAATTTTTTTATGTTAATGTAAGACTTTACTTAAAATTATGTACGTAAACAACAAAATCTTTTCCAATTACTAATAAGAAAATTATAATATTTTAAAATAAATCTGAATCTCTCCGTAATTATATAAAGTGTTCTGTAATTATTGACGAAGCGCTCTTGTGTAGATAAAGCGGATTAAACTACTGAGTCGAAAGTCCTCTACCATTTTGCAATTTTCGCAATAGTTAACAAGATATTAATTATTAAAAATCGCCGAATATTGGTCTTTATTAATTTTTTACTCAAGAACTATCAACTTTACAGAAAAATAGCAAGAGACAATTAAAAATTGTTTATTTTCTTCTTATGAGCTCTAAGAATTTTTTAGAATTTTTAAAAAAATTCTTAGAACTCTATAAGAAGGAAATAAACAATTTTTGTCATTAGCTATTATTCTGTAATGTTTAGATATAGTACTCGAGTAAAAAATTATTGAAAACCTGTTCGGTGATTTTTAGTAATTAATACATCTTGTTAACTATTGTAAAAATTGCAAAATGATAGAGGACTTTTCAATTCAATTTAGTCCGCACTATCTGCACAAAAGCACTTTTTCAATAATTGCGGACACCCTGTATACATTAATATAATGTAGCATTTAATTTCTCACAAATAAAGATTTATTTTATAGTCGCTAATTCAAATCGTTGGTGTCCAAATGTAAAATTACTATCGGCAAAAATTTTTTCTAGCAATGCAGCTAGAAAGCCAGAAAGTATAAATATCGCATAATTACAGAGAAGAACAGTAATAATAATTTAAAGCAAGTAAAAATATATATATTATACAATATATGAAGATATACATACGACGATATGTCGATCCTGCTCCGAATGTTCTTTCCAAAAAAACAGCTTCAAATGCGCGAAACCACGATTCCCATCAAGACTCGCCAGGGCATACTTGCAAGTTAACCGCCATTACTGCAATCACAATATTCGTAGCGTGATATCTACGCATACGTTTAAATAATACTGCAATTATTACAAATATACGATACCTTACGCAAAATACTTGTGATGTTCGCGCCTAAGATTTATATTTTACGGTAACAATTCGTGAGAAGCGATTCAAACGCGATGCATGTTACCGTTGTCCGCGTCGCGTTGTAAATAACGGTCCGCGCGGTTCGAATTTCTGTCGAAAAGATCTTGCGATTCTCGAAGTACTGACGCCATCGTCGCGCGGCGAACTTCACGCGGTACGCTACTTCAACGTACACGTATTAGAAATATAACTCAATATGTGTTTCAGCGAATATTAAATATAGCCTGTTAAATAACGCATTATTAAGAACAACTAATAAATGTATCTAATTAGAAAACAAGCATGTATATTATATATACATACATGTATATATTATACATATATACTTGCGTAACCGCGCGTTGCGTTTTCGATATTTGAAAAAATGATGGGAAAATGATCGAAATAGCGAATGTTTAGGCAGCGAGTTTAATTACAAAAGCGCGTTTAATTACAAAACGAAAACATGTACATACCTGCAATGGCGTCGATCGTAAGCCGTTGCTTTTTCGATGTATTTGAGCGCGAAACGGATTTTGAACGACGCGACATTATGCGACCCAAGCAATGCTAAGCGTGTACAACACCGTATTGTCGATTCCGAAATCGCTATGTCCATTGCATTATGACAAACGTCCGATACGAAATATTCGCGATTAACTTTCGCGTATGATCACTTTGAACGGTAACAATCGCGAGACGTTCGGAACGATTTGAAGATTCTACACGACTGCACGATCGTCGCACCGCCTCTCGCGCCATTTAGTCCGATCTACAACGCAAAACGTTGCAGATCGCAGGCTTGTGCGTCAACCAATCCGGTGCGCCAATTTTAAAAGTGACGCTTCGAGATTGGCTGACGAAAATGCCTTTTTCATGTTTTTTTTCTGAAAAATATAAAATTCGGAATATTTGATAAATAGTAAGAAATTGTCGAGAGTAGCAAGGAAAAGTATAAACATACATAATCTTATTTATAATTATTTATTTACTTGGTAAATCAAATTTTTCAATATATTTAACATCAATCTTTCTATTGTGCCAATTAGATTGTATGTACATTATAAAATTTGAAATTATGATAAAATAAATAATCAATGCGATTATTAAAATTAACATGCGTGAATGTTTAAACTGAATCTCTCTCTCTCTCTCTTTCTAAATTTAAGGAGGAAATTCTAGCAAATAGATAAAAATCAGACATATATATATATATATATGTTCTCGCTAAATGTAGTAGAAAGTATGTATCCAAATGCAGCATGTTTCGAATATAATCAATTGTGGCATAATAATAATTTTCTTTCTTCTATATTCACAAATATTATCTTGTCATACGTACATACATACATACACTCGTACAGACACGTGTATATACATATGTATTTACAGATATCATTCAGCTTTTCTCCTCCTTATCTTTCAATGATTTTATTTTTCGACCTAACATATCGTAAACGGTAGGATTTGGTTCTGTTTCTTGATCTGTATCAGAACTACAGTCACTGTCACTAGAGTTATTATATGTTCCAAGACCAGGTAATATACCAATACATTTGAGTCCGCTCTGCATATAATTTGTATTTGCTTGATTTGGTGTAGCTTTATCGTTTTGTTTATCTGATTCGGGACTAGAAAGAGAAGTGTCCGTAAGTGCAACTGGCTCACAAGATGTATGTGGTTCTTTCTTTTTGCTAGTATCGGCATTATCTTTGGATGGAGACAATTTTCTCTTTATTCCTTTAAGTGCTTCTTCTGCATGAATAAGTAATTAAATAATAAATATGTCATACTAGAATATTGTTCAACTTTTTCATTAAATATTTTTAAAATTTTACCTTGTTTTTGTTTGTCAGATCGTTTCAATACAACACCTGCGGGTAATTTTAACTGCGAAGTGCGACTACTAAAACATAATTAAAGTTGAATAATTTCTATCATTATATTATTAAATTATATTTCAGAATTAATCTCTGGACTTGAATTTCATTCAATATCATAGCTTTCAAAATAGAGGATCATTGTGATATTATAATGTTATAATGTCAAACATAATATTGCAATATTATATTGTCATATTAGATTTTAGTTTTTCTTTCACAGTACCTTCCACAGGCAGCATTTTTACTGCTAACAGGTGGGTTCTTCAATTCTTGCTTTAATTTTTCATTTAATTTCTGTTCTTGAAGAGAAGCAACTGCGGCTTTAAAATCGCGCATTTCTTTTTCTTCCTCAAGATTCTTTTTACGTTCTTCTTCCATCTTAGTTCTATCAACCAAGTCCAAAAATTCTACTTCATCATCATCCAATCCTTTGATCATATTTTCTAAAAAAAGAATATATATGTATATATCAAAATGTATTTTTAGAATGTCATTTTAAATATCAACAATAAATTTGAACGTTAGAAATGCTGCAGTTAAAAATATTGATATTTCCATAATGTTGACATGATTTTCATTTATTTTAAATCGTTAGCAAATATTAATTTACATAAATAGCAAAAAAAGGGCAGTGCAAATTTTAAAAAACATAAAGAAAAAGGTTATTAACTCCATTATTTATATCTTCAATATTAAAATAAGATAAATCAGTTTACATTAGGGATCACACATACGTATATATACACAAATGAGTATTGAATTCATTATAGATCTGTAATTCAAGCAAAATCAATTTCACTTTTTCACTTACTTAATTTGTGAGCTTCTTCATACTCTATGTCTCTTTTATTTTTCTGTTCCTGCAATCTCTCATACAAGGATCTAGGATCATAAGTTTCCTCTGGAGCCTCTATAAATCGTTAGATAAACGAGATACTTATCAGTTATTATTCGCAAACACTCAAAATCGATGAATTTACTTTAATGTCATAATACGATGCCTAATCCTCAGTTTGAATACAATCCCGTAGGAGTGGCTGTATAAATATGTAGACAGAACGTTGAAGCTAACCTAAAGGTTGATCGGCAGTCCGTACACGTTCCCATTCCTCCTGTCGCATTCGCCGTTGTTCGGCGATTTCGGCTTCCGATATGAAACCCGAGCTCATTTTCACTGTTTGTAAATAATGTCTTGACGAAAGACAATCCACAGCACTCGCAAATGTTTTTTTTCGTACACGTCTTGATAAATTTAGTAAAACATACACGATCGCGCGATGCCTTTTGCTGGCTACCTGGATTATGTATGAACAATTCGCGAACACTACGAACTCTAGATGGCACTAAAATCATTTAAATGCTCGAAAGGTAAAATCAAATATTTAAATTATTATTAGAATATCAATTATTAAAAGCTGTAACTGTTACGCGCGCGCATAGATATATGTAATAATCAGTGTAAAACTAATGACATCTATTGTGCCACATTAAAAAACATATAAAATTCATTAAGTATTATATATTCTTTTTAATTATTATTAGTTAGTCTTTTATAAATTGAGTATTTTAATAAAAAAATACAATATATATTTATCACATATTTCTTGCCAACTTTTGGGAATAAATAAACAAACCACCATTTATATATAAGAAAAATTTATATTTTCAACTATTTTTTTTATAAAACAATACAAATATTAACATGAATCACATAAAATTAAAAATATTATAATCTGGACATAACTAAAAAGTTAAATATGAAACATCAAAAAAATACTATGTTAAAATATTGAGAACATTGTCATAATTTATAAAATGGGTAATAATTGATACATAAAACTTATAAATAAAATTAAAATATTTCTAGATAAAAAAATATTTTGTTAATTATTAACTATGTATTTAAACAAGATTTATTTGTTTGAACAATTTTAACTTTTTAACTACATCCAGATATTATAATATTTTATACTTTTTTATATATTATATTTTATCTTAACTGCTTCTAACTAAATTCTAACTTCTTATAACATCCACCTCTTGTCATATTATTTAACAGATCCCTTCAATTTCTATGAATATATTGTCACCATACCGTGTTTGTAAATTCAATAAACGGAAAAAAGCTTGAACAAGTACGACTATTTGTAAATAATAACCCACTGAAAATGCACTGATGCAATATAATTCCGCTTGATTGCTGGGATATCATAGTCGCTTTGCTTTTTAAGTTAATCAGGTCTCTGAGATTCATTCGTAATAATTGTCTATGTATACATAGTGCTTTGTAAAATATATCATTGTCATATGTAGTTTGTATTTGTTTAGAAAATATCAATTAAAACTTGATTTTTCCTTGTTGAATTTGATCAAAAACTTCTGATGTTAGTAACTGATAACCGAGCTTTGCATTTAAATAATATAGTTTGTCTTGAACTTTGTGCGGATTATATCCTTCCTCCTGGAGATCTTTCTTCTTTAGTTTGAATGTTCCTACAAACCGTGAATAGTTATATAGTGCAACTTAGTTTAATGTATAAATATATTCGCTTCATGTATTTCGAAAATGCATACAAAATCAAGTACACTTCGTGATTTAGCTGTTTTCTAATTTCTCTCTTAATATACAATTTATTTTATATTAGCCAACAACACTCAATGCTTATTTTCAATATCTATTTACACTCATATTTAATACTTATTTTATATGCATATTTTTTGAAACATTCTAATTTTGTTAATTAAAATTTGCACAACTTATAGACTGTAACATGAACAGCAAAAATATCAATTATATTTATATATGTATCTATACATAAACATATACCTGTGAGATCAATTTTCGTCAGAATTCTGACAAATTGCGGCCTAGCGTAAGCAGGTAATTGTTCTTTAATGTCGGCGGAAAAAACTGCTCTGCCTTCAGTACCTTTTACCTGTCGATAATCATTATTACCTTACATATTACTAAATCATGTTTATACAAAATATTGTAACTCTTACATTTTAATTTAGTTTATTAAGAATTTTTGTATCAACATGTCAGTGTAACATTATAAATATACACAAATTATATTTCTTACAGAAAACTATTTGAAAACTATTGAAAAACGAAAATAAAATAATTATTATTACCTCCACACCATATACTATGCAGTCTCGATAACTGATAAAATTACTAATTATTCCTTCAATTTCGGAAGTCGATACATTTTCTCCTTTCCATCTAAATGTGTCTCCCGTTCTGTCCTTGAAATACAAATAGCCCCATTCATCGGCAACAAGAATGTCCCCTATAAATAATTTATAATCAAATTCACAAAGTTGTCTAACTCAATTTTAACAAATACAGTTCTGTATTATAGATATAATTAAACAGCTCGTGTACGAATGACTTTCTTCTTTTGTTAAACAATCTAAATTAATAGAAATAAATTTGAAATAATTATATTCCAAATAGTTACAAATTCGCGTTTTAATATACTTAATAAATAATAGATATTAAATTTTTTATACATACCTGATAAAAAGGCAGAATCACCTTTTATGAAAACATTATGAATTACTTTTTTCTCAGATGCTTTTTTATCCACGTATCCTAAAAATGCCCTGGTTGGATTATTTGGTGAGATCTTTCCAATAAACGCACCAGGTTCATCTATTAAATGAAAGATTTGATTTATGTTAACGATTAAGTTTTAAAAGATTAGAAAAAGTAACGCGAGCAATTATATTGATTGACAAAATTATTACTTATCTGAAGTCATAAGATTACTCTTTTATTTTAAAATTCTTGTTGCATGTAATAATAATTACTAAAGTGTTAGATACCAAATAAAATTAGATTAAATATCTCATTTTCCGCTTAATATTTATTATAAAATAATCTGAAGATTAAAAGAGAGAGAGAGCGCACATCGTCCGCTTTGATTTTTTCCAATTTTTAAATCACTTCAATATTTAATTTTATAAGTATATTTTATAAGTATATTTGTTCAAACACAAATATCATAATTTTATGGATTAAAATTTATAGAGTATATTTTATACATTGTACAAGATTTTAGCACAAATGGCAAAAATATCATTTATGCATATTATTTATATGTGTAAACGTATCTATGAGATGCATTTTCGCCAGAATTTTAAATATGAATCAATATTAAATTAATTAATCTTGTTTAGTCAGCTTACTTGGTTCACAGACTTGACACAATCCTTTAGAGTTACGTATAGGTTCTCCATCCTCATCTACTTTAATCAGAGACACAGGATATACAGATGGTATAATTCTTGAAAAAAAACCTATTGCTCCCATTTTGTTGTCAATGTTCACTGAAAGCACATTTTGAAACGCTTCTATAGTCCAATTAGTCCTATTATATTTTTTAAAACTCACATATTATAAAAATAACATTAATGCTCAATATTATGGCTTATGTAATAAAAAGTCTAATAAAAATTGTTTTTGTTAAGAAACAATGTTGAATAATATCAAGTATGAATTGATACAATTATATTCATATAATATTTTATGCATACTTATGTACAAAGAGTAAAATATTAAACTAAGTATTTTGTAATACTTACTGACATTAGCATTGCCTTCAGTTGCACCGTAAAATTCGAGCACTTGTGAAATTTTGAATCGTTTTACAAATTCGCCCCATATCTGCGGTCTTAATCCGTTGCCGAAAATTATTCTAATATTATGTTCCTGGTCCTCTTTTTTAGATGGAACTGCCAAAATATAACGACACATTTCCCCTATGTATTGACCAACCTAATAATATTTTCGAAAATTTTATTTAAGATATAAATGATATAACTTATGCAACTTATTAATGATATAATGATATGCACTTATTAATGATATAACTTATGCAACTTCAATCTCATTAGTATGTAACAAAAATCAAAACAAAAAGAGAGCAATACAATTCATTTCATCAAATAAAAACATAAAGAATATCTATTAATTTTGCGTTATGTTGAATGTAGAATAAATTATCAAAAATCATCTCATCTAAGATTGACAAGCAATTTGACTAATAGAAAATTATACTTACAGTGCATTTGTATTTAGTACAGTCAGCAAAATATGCGCTAGCACTAAACTTCTTCCTAATCACTGTCGTATGTCCGTATACTAAGGCTAGCCCCACAGCCATTATTCCACCCGCTGTATGATATAAAGGCAAAGGTGTATATATTCTATCAGAATCACGCAAAATTCCCATATAATGCACTGAACTCGTGATAAAGATATATCTGCAAAAGATATATATGATATACACTATCTGTCATTCTCTGTAAAATTATAATTTTATTTTTTAATTTTGAAAAGTTTTCGAAAATTTTGAATAGAAATTTTACAAGCTTGCGTGAGTTAAAAAGAATTCTTTTAGAAATCTTTTCGTTTTTTTAACTTTCAAAACATTTTCTTAACAAGATTTAAGATAGCGCTCTCTTTAAGATTTCTGTCAAATTGTATTGTAACACGAAAACTGATCTCGATTGAGATTAAATTATTAATGATTTTTGTACAATGAAAATGTGAATCTTCATACTCAAATTACTCAATAGTATTTTCCATATAGCCAAAATTCTTTTTGAAACATGTCATAAACTCTGTAACCTTTTTAAAGAAAAAAAGGCTGAAACTCTTATATGTAACATATCTACCTTGAGTTTGTAATAACAGCCGCCTTGGGAAGACCTGTAGTACCACTAGTGTAAATGTACAAGAGTTTGTCGTGATAACCACTTTTTTCTTGTACTCCCGGTGGTGCAGCGGGTGTGTCCAACAACAAGGTATTCAAATCTTTCTCTTTTAATCCGATTGACATTGCATTCGGGTGATTTCCGAATCTGTATAACGTTAATTTAGCATCTAATGATGAGGCAATGTCTGTCACAGCTAGAATTAACAGCTTTTATTAGAATTAATAATTGTCGAAATATCTGAAAAACTGTTCAAGAGGAACGATTAATGAAGAAAATCAATTTTACGTTTAGACGTTATTTTTGTATTCTTCGATTCTAACGTAAAATACATAATTGTAAAGAAGAAAGGAAAGAAAAAAGTTTTTTCTCTGTGAACAAATTAAAATGAATTTTTTTTCATTATTAAATAATAATTGTTGATTAGTATTCTTACCGTCAAAAAACTCGGTGCCATATATAAGTGCTTGACACTTTGCAATATTGATACAATGCAAAAGACTGCTCTTACGCAAATTGGTATTAATGAGAGCAGTTATCACACCAAGTTTATTCAAACCTAACCAAATCGCAATAAATTCCGGTCGATTCTCCAACAGTAAAGCAACTGTGTCTCCTTTTTTATAACCATGTGTTTTAAATATCGTTGCAATTTTGTTACTAAAATCTTCTATCTGTTTAGAAAAGATTAATAAGTCAGTATTCATAATCTGTTCTTATCTTACGACTGTAGTGTTCTTATCTTACGACTTAAGTAATGTGCTTATTAAAATGTATAATTGTAATATCTTGATGAAAATGTACATATTAAATACGGTCTTAAATATAAAAACCGACTATGAATATCGATCATAGAATCATATACAATTATATAATATACTTAGTATTATATAATATACTTGAAGTATTGACACTGCAAGTTGTGGAATGCTACATACATAGGATATTACAACGAAATGACGATTTATGTAGAGTTTGCGAATTCAAATCATATTTTTATTCTTAAAAATATAATGTATTTATATATAATTAAAATAATCAACAAATTGCGCTTTAATAAAAATCTTCGAGTAAAGCGTGATAAAGAATTAATTCTTATACATTTGCCAATTTCAGAATCATATAAGGCTTCGATAATTTTGTAATGTGTATACATACATTACAAAATACATATACATACACATATACATACATATATAATATATATGTATATGTATACTTAAATCTCTACGGGAAATATCAATTAAATTTAAAGTGTCTTTGTTGAATAAAATATGGTCTATGAATAAAAATAGTGTTCTTTTTCTGTAAAAAAAGCTCTACCTGTTGAAAAGTCCATTCTTGATCTTCAAATATAAAGCAGATTTTATTAGGATGACGATTGACATGTTGTCTAAATATATCGGCAACGTTTCTGTTTTTCTTTCCATGGCCATGTACTGACCACAACATTCTAACATATCCTATTAATCCTCTGAAAAGAAGTAAAAAAGTGCTCAAGGAAAGCCAGTTCCACAATTAAAATGTTCATTGTGATCAAGAGGATATATTCAAGGAGATATGCTATTTAATCTATTGCTTAAGAATAACTCTTAAAATTTATATAATAATGTTTAAAATGAAAACAACAATGTATCCACTGTGAAAGAGTTTAATTATTTTATATTAAATTTTATATATATACATTTAGATATAAAAAACGATATAAATTTGAAATATTTATAATGCCTGTATTATTTCATTTGATATGTTGCTTTATATTTATTCTATAATTCTTGATTGACACTTCTCAATAATCAATAAATAATCAGTAAATTTATAAAACACGCATAGTGTTTGTCAATTGTTTGATATAGGCGATTACATTGAATGGCCAACTAAGAAATTCCGTTACATCTTCTCGAGGTCAAGAAAAGAGGATGCTACGTTCACTTAGCAGTACTGCGGAAGAACAGCTAGCAAGTTATAAAACATAATGAGAGAAAAGAATGTTCCTCGTTTTATATTACTGTACTTTTCAAGTACATATGTTCATATATGTTCATGAAACAATCACTTTTTGTTTTCACTCTCAAATCCTTTGCATTAGTCCCATGTTTTGACACGTCTACATATGTTTATTTCCTAATAATACATCTAATATTGCTTTCTTATTGATAATGTGAATTGATAATTTAAATAATTAGACCATAACCAATTTTCTTTAACTTTTCATGTTGTAAATTGCGAAAGGCATTGAATATGGTTTTGATCATAGCCATGACCGAAACCTAGATCTTACTCATGGCCATGACCATGACCATGACCACAGTGAGATCTATAATCATGGTCAGTTATATAGTCACGATTATAGATTAGAACTACAATGAAAAAATGTATGTTGAAAGACTCAAATCATTGCAAACACACGAAACATATAATATTTCTCTGTTAATATGTTTACTCCAGAATACTGAAGCAAAACGAAAGTAAAATACATATTATATTATAATATAAACTTTTTATTTCTATAACTTTTTCCGTCTTTTTGTCATTAAGGCTCAATAAACTTTTCTGTGAGATTAAGATTCATTGAAAATTTAATCGATATATTATGAAATATTAACATATTATACATGATAAATAAAAAAAAGAAAACGTCACATTTTTTTTCTTTCCATTTCTTATGGACACTATTATAAAATAAACATCTTGGAAAAATAAGTATCTTGATATTTCTATAAAAATACTAATGATACATGTTAGCATAGATGAAAGAAAAGTTACAGTATGCAAATAAACAACGTTTATTTAATAAGAATATTTTAAAAAGAAACTAGGCAAGCTTCTTTTTATTTCTGCATTATGTACTTATAAGAATATTAAACAATTCCGTGATTATATGCATTAAATGTAATCGTGTTTATACACGCAAACTCTTGTTATATTCACATAAAATTCAGCAAAATTCGTGCGTAAATGAACTTTAAGATTTATTTGAGAGCAAAATTATGTATCGATACAATTGTGATTATAAACGCTATATGACCTTTGCTTCAATTTATGAATTACCCTTTTATATGTAAAAAAAAGTGAAATAAAAAATATTATAAGTTGAAATAAACTTTTTGCTCTTTTTTACTTCGATCAACATCCGCGCTTTACTTTTCGATTTACTTTTACTTTGCCATTTTCTTGCTTTAATTTTTAACATGCCTCGTATATTTAGTTTCCGGTGAAAGTTAGAGAGCATTTTACGATACTGATCATTTTTCGCGCGTATCTTCTATTCCACCACAACATGATGTTTAAAGTTAATAAAAATCCACTCATAAGATAAAATTATTTCTAATTATTTCTATTTATTATTATTTTCTATTTATTTTTTCTTACGTAAATATAAATAGAAATAATTAGAAATAATTTTATCATCTTTATATCATCTATATATTTTTTAAACAATTTTGTTTAAGCAAAGTAAAGAAAAAATATATTATAATTTATTAGTCAAATAAATTTATAATTAAATTAATAAAAAAAGAATTATTATAAAAAACAAAAATAAAATTTCTTTATATTATTTTCTTTGTTTACGCGCTCACAAAATTTACATATGTGATTCTCTTTGTCTACTAATGCTCGTTTCTATCAATATAAATTAACTTCAGTTTCAATCTAACTTATTCCTCATCTCATTTTAATATTACAAGGATTAGAAAAAAATGAAGAATAAATTGAATCAAGATTCGAGTTAATGTACATTGATAGAAACGAATATAAGTCGTATATACATCGATTGAATTATGTGTAAATCAATAATTATTAGTGATATTCACCTTATTCTCAGACGAAGTTTAGTAATAAAAATTTTGAGTGAGATTAGCTCCCTCATGTATTTTATAAAACAAAGATAAATTTTATAAAAACAGAAACAAAGCTGCTCAGTCTAGTTAAATTCAATTAAGTGCGTGAATTCTTAAAACTTTTGAAAACTATGAAAATGGTGAAAAAAATAATATCTATGTAATATATTGTTGTAAGAATTAATTTGATAAACATATAAACATTTTATATCTTGTGTACGTTAAGAAATGTCCAAATACACATTATACAAGGAATTTGAACAGAGAGTTACGCCAATGTAATGCCCAGTTTCTGGTATGTCACTAAAGCTATGTAGCTATATATGAGAAGGAACCTCACGACTGGGTTTTTTTACTTTTCCTTTATACTTTTACCACAGATGTCCAATGGCGTGGCCTTCAATAATTTTATCCGACGTCTGAATCCTATTGATTAATGTCAAATTGCAAGCGAGATTTATTGTTATGTACAATTATAAAAATTACAAGAGAGAATGTAATCTTTATACTTTGATACATTGATTAGCATTCTATAAATAAATTTTTATTCCATAGAACGTATATTAACAGCTAAATTAATGATATAATTAAAATCGTTGAATCTTTAGGCTCTCATTTTTTAATCAAAGATGCGTGATTAATTCCTTATATAAATGTTATCCTTATGCAACAAGCGATTAATCAACAACTGGAAAAACAAGTAGAAAAAATAAAAATTTTCCTTGACTCACTTGCAATCTCTTGGTATTGTCCTTAAGGCAACATAGAACCATCTCATGCGGCCACCGGCGACAAAGTAGGCAACGGAGATCACTATGAGCAATTGCACGAGATAAACCGAACCCATGTAGATGACTATTACGGCTAAAGCTCCAACCGCGGCTACCAGTAGCAACATAATGAGAGTGAGACGTCGCAGAAACCGGCCGACCGTCTTCCAACGACTTGTACTCGCGTTAAGATCCCGCTCTGATCTCAATGCCGCGCTCGCGCTGGCACGTGTTGTCTGGGCGTCCTGACGCGTACCTGATGGTGCGTTCGCTATGTGCCCCACTCCGGACGTTGCCCTCGAGACATCACATCTATTGGCGCTGGTCTCATGTAGCGGTGTCGGCGCCGATGCCAACGCCGAGACCGACGCCGACGTCGACGCCGACACCGAGGATACTCCTACGAACCGGGTCTCGCCGCGCTCGATATCCTGTAACGTGAGCTTTGTAAATGATACAAAGAATAATTACACGGAAAAACCACAAAGATTTTATTTAACAACGCTCTTAGAGTTTCAAACGGAACTCGCTTATGACCTTTCAACTTGCAAGTCATCACGTGATAAGAGACTGAATTTATCAAGAATCATATAGTTCTCTCTAACGTAACGTAATGCATAGAATCGAATCAGTGGAACAAAATTAATAATTATTCACAGTCAAATATAAATGGACTAACGTGAAATTTTTTTATCGCTTTATATCTTTTTTCATCCTTTTATATTTTCATTACGTTATAAACCAGAGTTGACATCTTATCTCTATAATATAATTTTAAGTCTTCGATCATCGAGATAGATTACGAAAGATTGAGACTTTCAAAAAAAAAAAACAGGTCAAATCTTTTTCTTTCCACTGCGGTTTGAAATATTCTTGGCTTCGTGTATTTTCAAGTTTTCCAGTCGTTGACTGACTAGAGCACACTGCAGGGTTTCCAGCTTAACCGACTACTTTCTAACAATTTAGTTTCTCCTATCAACTGTATTTTTAACAGAATATGACCCAGTTAGGCTAAAATAATCCGATTTTACACGCCGATATCGTATTACCTGCTGTACCTGTTACTTTCTTTTACAAAAGTACCAAACTGCAATCCGATAATTAATTAATATCTATCCTTTCAGGTTTATTTAGACCATTAAATCTAGTAGTAAAAAGTGTGCGAATTGCATATTTTAAAAGATATAAATATGTGTATACCGTGTACGGAGTATCTCAAATTCTCACATTTCTTTCTACACGTTAGATCTTTTCCTTCGTCGAAATTTTAATCGAGTACCATTTATTTTTACAAAGTATTTTACAAATACTTAAATACTAATTTAATATTTCGCTTCTAAACCTTCAATTAAGAAACTATGTTTTTGATCTTCGATATTTGACCCAGCTCTCGAATTGACGAGGTCCGAAATAGTCCAAATGTCAAAATAAGATATGTGGCACCATCTAACGTTGCTCGTTAAAAGCTAACGATTGTAAATTTTAGTTAACGTTCTCGCTATCGATAAGTTCGCGTATTCTGCATCATTAACGTTTGTCACTTTTGGTCACTTCCAGTTAAGGGCATTTCCAGATGAAAGGAAGTCATGGCACACACCTTCCGTAACAGTATCCACAAGACATACCATAAGAATCAGCCAATCACAGTAAAGAATTCTTTTGAACTTTTAATTCCAATTGACTGATTCTTACGGTACGTCTTATGGTTACTGTTACGGAACGTGTGTGTCATGGCCTTCATACTGAATTATTCCATGGATCGAACATTATACTTACTACAAAGATAGAACCGTACTTCCACGCAGCATGTGTCTTAAATGGTGCTAGCACGCATTTCTGTAAGATTCTTTTAAATCGCGTGTTTGCCGCGCGTGAAGTACGTCACGCTCGAATCGCCATCGAGAATGTTGCTACCTTCACGGCACTGAGTTACTTGACGATTGACATCTCTTATCCGCACGAATGTATTAAAGGTTACTTGAAGGTTTTTATATAATTCAGAGGACAGTTTATAGTGGTTTGTAGCAGATTTCACCCAACGGAAACCTCCAGGTCTCCATATTCCGTACTATAATCAATAATACGACGATACTGCTATCTCGTGGTGAAAAGCGGTATTTTTTTAACAACGATTAACAATAGCATTTGATTTTCATTCATTTTCCAACATATGCATGTATATGTATGTTGCCTTGGTATGTATATTGTACTTTTTTGTTTTTGTAAAAACACATTCCCTTAAATAATTATCTGTGAAAATCATATCTTTGTACTTGGTTTTAATTTCGAAGAAGTATATCGATAATTAATTGAAACGTCCACATGTATATAAAAAAAAAAGTAAAATTAAATATTAATATATCATAGATATTTCCATCTCGTTTCCATTTATTAGTGGAATTATTTCGAATTAAGAAAGTAAATTAAATTTTGTCGAAATAAAATTTTTATTATTTATTTTTTCATCGCAGCAACATTTCCAGTGTCTTTCAGGATTTCATCACTTTACTATTTATACATGATACGTATATTAATAAAATAGTAAAATTGTAAGTTGTAGGAGCTGGTAATATTGTATATTTCTATTTCAATATACTTTCAAATATTGTCTCACGGAACAATTTAATATATGCGGGGTCATGATCTAATTACATAAACCACCTTATACCACTGCGATTTCAATCATGATTCAGCGGAAAATTACTAAAATTGATTGATCTAAATTTAATAGAAATATCAGATGTATATATCTTAAACACGATAATAATAAAACAATGCGCTACAACAATGATTACAGCAACGGAAACAATTAAAAATGTATAATTTTCTAGTAAATTTTGTCCCAAAATTTCCTTTGCACAATATGCCTTTAACTTTTAGTTATGTCTAATATTAATTTACATATTTGCATAATAATACAAATTTATAACGATTTCTTACAGTGTGATATACATATGTTAATTTTTATTAATATTTTATACTATAATAGTACAAGCTAATAAATTTTTAATAGACGGCAATTTTTTTAGCTGTGACATAATATCATCAATGGAAGAAAAAATCAAGAAAAAATCATTTTTCAATTTATAATAAACAAAAAATATGTACTTTGTGCTTTATGTAAGTTGTCTTATTTTGCATACAAATATATATGCACATTTTTAAAAGCAATCCGTGACAAAAATAATTTGTTTTCTAGAATGAGATAGATAACATCAATTTAGCAGTTGTATCTGTGTTTAACTAAATATTAAATATCAAATCAAGTATTAAAGTAGTTTGCTTATTTATATATATAGACAGAGATGAATACATAGAAATCACTCGTTTAAAAGTCATTATTTAATATAACATGAAAGTTTAAATCGAAAGATGCGGTAGATCAATACTGGTTTTACGAGGTTTAACTTAAACAACAAATTTAGACAACTAAAATTTGTCGTGTATACCCGGGAAAAAATGTTTTATAAATGGACATATTGGGTCGGAGGAAAAGTTCTGCAGTATTTTGTTAGCTCAAAATTATATATTTCGAATGGTTACTATATTTTTTGAATTTATGTAAGTTTTGTAATTTTTATATATAGAAAACTACGAGCTGAAAAAAAAGGGAAATTTGTCTTCTCACTTTGTGGGTCTGTCACGTGCCAAAAAATTTGCAAAAATTTTCGACTATCTATATCGTAAAAGGAATTTGGAATTTTCCTTACAAAATCGTTTTTTAAAAACGTTTCTACGACTTTGATTGATCATAATTCCATTAAAAATTATCATATTGCAATTAAAAAAACAGATTCTTAAAGCTGAAACGTTTATTGAATAATGTACTAATTTTTTAAATGTAAAATACCCAAATAGCAAAAAGTCTTGAGGCTGAAGTCTAGAACTTGGGCTGCGTTCTGTTTCACACATGATGCGCATGATGCATCTTTTATCCTTGTTATTCACCGAATGTTAAACAAGATTAAATGATGCATTATGCACATCATGCGTAAAGCGGAATGCAGTCTTGGTAACAAAAAGTCGTAGAAACATTTTTAAAAACGAACTTTTAGAAAAAACTTTAAGCTTTCTCGTCACTCGTCAGATAGTCGAAAATTTTGCAACAAATATATTCTGTATATAATTCCGCAGAACTTGCTCCAACCCAATATTTTATACATAAAACATTTTTTCCCGGGTATTAAAAATTTTTAATATTTCGAAGATATAGTCAAATTCTATAAATGTTATTTTGCGTATATATAATTTTTTTAAATAAAAACTTCTATGTGAATATTATCTGATTAAACAATTATTCTTCGAACGTATGCTTTATTTATTGTAATTAATAATTATTAGATGATTATGTGATAGCGATTATATTTTAATGAATTTTAATGAAAGTGCAAAAAAGGAGAGGAATATTTATGTTTATAATATGAATATATTAAGCATTGTTTAAATTGCTTAAAAATTGTCTCGCTATTTTATCTATAATATATTTGTACATACAAATCAAATAAATAAATAAAAATGTATTAAAAAATAAGTGTACATAGTGTTATGAAAATACTTACACAATCTTTGTCCATGTGTGTTATTACATTGTTGTGATTAATTGACATCTTCGATATAGTATCCGCCATGTATAATAACGTTGAAAAATACAGAATGATTTCATAAAAATTATTTTTACAAAGAAGATATATTGAATTATCTAATTACGATTCGTTTAATTAATTTAACTTTTAATTAATGTTACTACACAAAGATTAAAGTATAAAATTAAGGAATTAAAATTTTCTTAGTAAAAATGTTTTTTGATATTTGTCATTTTTATATATTATCAGTTATATCTAAACAATTCACAATCACAAGAGTCACGTTTTATAATGCGCTCATTGCACATACACACCGAATAATTCTTGCGAAGGATTGCACCGTGTGAGGTCTCCGACGATTTGATGAGAAATATGAAAAAATTCCGCAGAGAAAATAAGCTTCTGTATAGCTAACGGAACAAGACGCGTCCACTGACCGATTCGATTCCTGTTAGCATGTGAACTAAAATGAAATTGCAATGGTAAGTCAGTTGGCCGCTCATGAAAGCGTCTTCCCTCCTTCCTTTCACAGGTATACCGGTTCTTGAAACTATCCATTCGCCTATTCGTTGTGGTTTTCGCTTTATTTCAACGAGGAGAGGGAGAGAAGAAGAGAGAGTAACTACGCAAGGACTTCAATTGCACTGACAAAAAATGTAGGAAGAAGCGACAATGGTACATGACCCCATTTCATAACAACTTTTGTTTCGCTTTTGACGAGACGTTCACAAATTCATTTCCGTGACATCATTAAACAATCTTATATTCATAATTCCTTGTACGTAATATTTATGTATAAGGAATTCACAATTCCTCGCACATAAATTTATAAAGAACTTGTTGTCAAAACTGATTTACAGCAAATTATAAATTTTATTATAATAAATATTTATAAAAGTATGATTTTTTCTTTTCAGACTAAAATAATTTTGCATGCGACATTTTAATAATTTATTATGTTTTCGGTGAGTGAATAATAGCCTCAATGACTTTATTTTATTTGTCATACTTTTAATTTGATTATATTACTTATGTGTATAAAATGTATATGGCACTAAAATTTTGATAGAATATTTTTTGCGCGTATAAGATATAAATGTTTTATAATATTAGCATTTCAATATGCGCGATAGTCCATATTTTGACGTAAAGTCATGCATTCAACCTCATCAATTTTTAAAGTATTTGTCTTTACATTGATATCCTCTTCGAGTTGAATTTGTGTTTTGAGCAAGTAACGTAGCGATGTCTCTGCCTGTAATATTACACATATCTCATAAAAATAATAAATTACTATTTGCGGAAAATTTATTAAATCGGTTCTGCGAATGGAATTCTAATTATAATAGAATTCTGTACAACGAAACGTAGAACGTCACAACCTCGTCACAAACCTCGTAAAGCATTCGCTGTAGATTTGCCACGACATTTCGTAACTCGTGTATCTCCTTTACGAGATTGACCTGAACTAAATCCTGAATATGTTCAATTCCTGGACGTTGACATCGACGTCCTAGTCTTGTATGAGCCAAAGCCATAAATCCTTCTTTTTCAGCTATCGACTTCTTTAAGTGTGTGATATTGCTTGACATCACGGTAACTTGTTTTATTATCTATAAAAAAATTCTAATAAAATTACAAAATAAATAATAGCAAAACTTTTGAGTTAAGATATAAAATCGCTCCATCGACATTTTCCTGGACTGTTTAAACTTTTTCTATGTATCAAAAATTAACCGGAGATGTTTTCCTTTCAACATTTTATTATAGATTTCAAAAACAGAAATAGATAAACTTGTCACCTGGTGAAATCTTAAATTAATAATTAATATCGAGATTTGTGCCAAAGGTAGATTACGTTCATTTTTTTACGTACCTCCGAGTGCTGGAGTTCCAGTTTCGTTTTGGCTTCTCGAGTCTGTTCAATACGTTGTCGGAAAGCTTCATTTGTAACATTCTTCTGGTTATTTAATTCATCAATCGTTTGCTTAATTATCGTATCGATGTAACAGCGCAATTGCTTTGAGCTATTCATTTCCTTATTTGCATCAATAACATTGTTGTTCGTTTGCAGTTCCCATTCATTTAACATTACTACCCTATGTTTAACAGTCCTTTTGTATATGACTTCTGTATTCTTGAATATTTCATGCAATTAAAATTATATACATATATCATAGATATGTAAATAAGATAATTTTGCTAAATTGAGCTTGTGCGAACATCTGATTTTTCTTTAACATATTTGTTTAGATTCCCAGATAGCACAGAATGTTTATGATAAATATTTATTACTATTCATTTTTTAAATGTTATATAAATATTTTATACATATTTTACATAAAGTTTTATATAAACTTTATTTGAAATATTAAAATATAGGCTAAATATTTTATGTAATATTTATGATAAATATGAATAAATATTTCTAATCTGGAGACACGATAGTGTTTCGGCGCTAAGACATGACACGAGACACTGCCGTGCTCCTTCACACGAGGCGACGAATTGTGCCGGATCGAGATTATCAGCTGTCCCGATCGAGTTTTAAGTACACTTAATCGATAGCTTACTCCGATTGTATTATAAGTTTTATTTTTTCTTTACGTGCCCTACAAGCGTAGATATTGCGACGAAAAGTTCGGATCTACCACTTTTCAGAATAGATACGTCGTTATTGTTGTCATGATTGTAGTCGTATTTTTTACTTGGATTATGTCTTATTAGTATTTTAATGGCATTACTACAACATTTATAATAAATATTTCATAATATTTATAATAAATGTTTATGATTTGTGCAATTTGATCATGCAAAGACCACAAAAATATTTACAAAATATTTAAAATAAGTCTTATAAATATTTACAATTAAAATAATTATGATATAATTATTTTAATTAATATTTTAAATAATTATAATATTTTGTAAATATTTTATAAATAATATTGTGTGCTATCTGGATCATTATTATCGAACACGAATAATAACGTACAAAAAACTATAATTTTTATCAACGTATAAAGAAAAGATTATCCTTCTTTGTTGTTTTTTATATCATAAAGAAATATATATAAATATGTAAATAAAGATAATTACTGAGTTGTATCTTACGTAAATATCTTATTTTTCTTTAACACATTTTCTTAGATCATTATTATCGGACACAAATGACTAACACGCGAATAAAAGAAATCTGTCTTTCCCAAGTAGAACACAGAAGTCACGAGAACATCATCATGACCTCGTTCGTCACTTATAAGTCAATTTTTAGGTAAATGACGTCGTAAATGACGTCATGATGATTCTGTGATACCATTGTGACTCCGTGTTCTACCTGGGTTGTTGTTCTCGACATCATAAAGCAATATACAAGATGTACCTTAAAAAGCGCCCACTATAAATCATAGAGCAGCACTATTCCTGATCGAAAACTGAATCGAAAAGTCCTGAGCCACTTTGCAATTTTTGCAGTAGTTAATGAAATATTAATTTCTAAAGATTACCAAATAAGATGATAAAATCAACACATAAGACAACTAATTTGAAATATCTTTCAATATTCTTTATGAAATATTATTTATGAATTTTTAAAGAACTCTTAAAGGTATCTTTAAAGTCTTGTGCTAATTTTATTGCAAAATAATAGATGAATTTTCGACTCAGTTTTTGCGCTATATTGATTAATGGACGTTTTTTAAAATGCATATACATATATACATCCTGTATATAGCTGTGGTTAAAGGTTAAACGTTGTGAACTGTATTCCGATAATAATGTATGTAAATTATATACAATACTTGATACTCTTCAATAATGTTACGCACGACTTGTCAAGAGGCGAAGTACCGTGGTAAATACTCAGATTGAAATCAGTTTCTTTTAAAGTTACGTTGCGACGATCGATATGTAAATTGTTTTCCTTATTTTCGAGATCATGATCGATACGATATAATGTGGCTTTCAATTTACGGATTTGTTCGCAAGTTTTTTTTAATATTCGATCCAACAGATTTTCTGCTCCTTGTATTACCTCACGCTCTTTCAATAGATTCATTTCAACATCATCGTAAACCAAGTCAATGCTCAATCTGCATTCTCTGTGACGAAATATTCTTTCATTGAAAAATTATCTTAAAAAAAGTGAAATTTGCTGAACAAATTGCTTAATTATTAAGGAACTTTAGTAACCTAGCAATGAGACATTTTCCGCAAATTGCAAGAGCGTTTCTTTTTACGGACTTCAGTACATCTGTAATTCGTTCTTTGTATACGGACAACGCATCGATTTCCAGAGCAGTGTCCTTTCTTATAAGCAGCAATTCTCCTTTGCGAAATTCAATGTCATTGAGTTTTTCTAACAGTCGATGATCTGTCTCCTCCTTATTAGCTTTTACGATTTCCTTGGCAGAATCACATGCAAGCGTCGCCTCGGCTAAGAGCCGATCCGATAATTCTTGTTGTGCCTCGGAACATCGATATCTGAATTCATTAAAATTACAGTTTCATACTTCACCAAGACAAAAAGAAAAGTTAGATTATGAGTGCGGATGTATGTACAGTGCGCGCGAGCGTAATTTACTGTTAAAAACTTATTTGCTTTCTCTTTAATTACATCCGGGATAAAGCAACGTTTGAAATCTCAAATTGCACAACTTGACGAGTTTTCTATAGAAAACTTGGCAATTTTAGCTGGATTTTTCGTAATTTTACATAATGTCACACGCATGATTTATTGATACCTGAACTGATTATTGAGATGCCATTCGTCCAATGTAAACCTCGTAGAAGGAAAAGATACACGATTTACGTCAATATCAATTTTCGCCATACTGCGATCATGTGGTTTCGCTCAGACGAAAGATCATAATTTACAAGTTAAATGAGAAATATTTCAAATTTTAATGAAAAATCATTCACGAAGACTTCCCAATGTGTTTGCTCGTTCCCAAGGAAACGTTCCCTTTGCTATCAAACTCCATCCAACAATTATCGAACTTCGTCCACGACAATTTATATTGATATAACGTATGCATAATGCATGTTTTAACAGTAATTATTGCAAAAACGCGGACAATGAATTTATTTTATGTAAATTATTGCAAAAAATATTTTTTTTATTTGTCACATTTTCAGTTTATTATAAAAGAATTAGGAATTCCTTGATGATAAGAAAGATTACTGCGATATCCCTGGTGAAAAAATTTCGCTGAAATTTCATTGAAAGTGAATTTTTCAGCTAACATATTGAAAAATCGCTGAAATTGAACTAAAATTTCTCTGAAATTTTGCTGAAATTTTTTTGAAATTTTGCTGAAAATGAATTTGTCAGCTAAAAATCACAGAAATTGAATTAAAATTTTTCCGAAATGCTGAAATTTCGCTGAAAAGTGTTTTATAGCGATTTCGGTTGGGATGCAGTGATGCATATAAAGACCGTTGTACAATGAATAGCGATTTCGGCTGGGATGCACTAGTGCACATACACAGTTGTCATACACAACATTGCCGTAAAAATATATTAAAAACAGGTTAAATCGTACAATCTTCGATACATTTTATTGTACTGTTAATAAATCTTTCGTCGCAGTGTCTCATGTTCGTCTGGGCTCAGTACACCGCACAAGTGTATGTACATATACGAAGTGGCCCCAATCAAATAATTGTCGGTATATGTAGTTGTCGATATAGCCATTTCATGAGACGCTGAAAAACAGCATGAGTGTGATATTAATTTTGATACTAGCGTCTCTACACATATATATAGCACTACATACTTTTCATACATGCATTTTCATTGTCTAGCGTCAATTTTGATCATATATTCTGTTTTGACGCTGAAAATGAGCGTCGAGCGTCAGCATGAGAAGCACCTTATTCATGTTATGATGAATGATTTATATGTGCTCATGAAATTGTTAATATCATCGTCATCAAGAGCGATGATGAATTAATGTACCTGATAGAACGTAAAAAAGAGAACAAATGTTAAAAGTTAAAATTACATTGAAGAGGTTGTGCGAAAAACGTACGTTCAATAAAACTGTTCAGTTTTGCAGGTTAGATCAACTATAATAATGTGATTTATTGCACAGAAAATGTTTATTGATAGTTTCGAAGTCATTTTCGAATGTCGTGAGAGACGTACTACGAAATAATAGAGAAATTCAAAAGATCAACATTTTGCAGTGTAAAACGGTTTTAATATGCACCAGTACATACCAGTGTTACCAGCCGAAATCGCTATAAGTTAAACACCGATTAAAATTCCTCTTTATCTACTATCAATAACGTCGAATGTTTTTAAATGTTTCAAAATTCGACCAAATGAGGGCGTTTACATTTTGACATTCACACGTGTATTGGTCTATTTGTCGGCTTTGTAATATATTGTAATATATTCGTTTGTATTCTAACAAGATGTTATGTTTATGCGAATTAGCTACTGCATTCAGTTGAAATTATAAAAAAATGGAACGGAATTTTTTTCGAGATACATAAAATATGTAAGTTTTGAAAAGATCGATATCGAGGGAATGTATATTTATTATACATTTACCTCATTCCTTTATCAATATTTGTTTCTTTGTAAAGTCACGGCGAACTTTTTTTAAACAGATTGATGACATTCTTTTTAAATTAAAATGTAAAACTAAATAATGATTATTTTGTCATTAAGTATGACTTGAAAACAAAGTATTTTTATCTTTAATTTTATTACAAATATAGGATAAACTTTTTAAATTGATATAAATAATTTATTATAAAAAATTTACAATTTTTCAATGTCGGAAATACGAAAATTTACAGATCGATTCCTGCATGTATTTTCTCGCTTCATGAATGTCATGCCACCACTTGACTTGAACAAGCTCAAGAAAAGACCAAAAGAAGTTTTGGAACAACCCAAGAAAAAAATAGACAGATTCGATGGATTGTCAGAAGAGGAAGTCCAAAAGTATACATTACAAGATTATTTGGAGATGAATCTGGATTTAGTATTTGTTGGAATCAATCCGAGTTTAATGGCGGCACATCGTGGTAGATATTATGCAGGTCCTGGTAATCACTTCTATAAGCTTCTGCATGAATCTGGTCTAACACCAAGACTTGTCAGCTTTGAAGAAGACTATAAACTGTTGCAATATAGTATTGGTTTGACAAATATCGTTGAACGTCCCACTAGATCTGCTGCAGATCTGAAACGAACGGAACTCAAAGAGGGTTCTAAAGTAGTAGAAGAAAAATTAAAATTATTTAAACCCAGAATTGCAGTGTTCAATGGTAAATGTATCTATGAAGTATTTGCTCATATCACTACTAAATCTAAATTTTATTTTGGATTACAACCAGAACGCGTAGGTGATACTGCAATCTGGGTGACACCGTCAAGCAGCGCGCGATGTGCTAACTTTCCTAGAATGGTGGACAAGTTACATTTTTACACGGCATTAAAGAAATATCTACATTTCTTGAAAGGCGAGATTACCAATGTCGACATAAAGGAATTTTGTTTTGAGGGACGCAAGCAGATTATACCCAGTACTTCCAAAATGTGGCGACGCAAAAACGTCTCTACTTTTCTACATGGAGGTAAAGTTGTTAACAAAAATACTCTTTGTCTGGATACATCCGAGGAAGATATTGGTTCAATTCGTACAGTAGAATTTCTGGTAGAAAGATCTAATCAAAAATATGATAAAGATGAGAATACATCTTTCAATAAGGAAATATGCAGTCAAAAAATTGAAATTCAAGAAACATTTGATGAAACTGTAGAAAAACCTAAAACAAATATAAAAGAAACAGAAAATCTTACAGGTGATGTTAATGATGAAATAGTTGTTAACAAGCCAGAAATTAAACAAATATCTGACATTAATGGAAAAGAAAAAAAAAGTTGCATTGTTACAATCAATAATATTTTAAATCACGAAAGTAATACAACTAATTCGGAAAATAATGAAAAACATACATCTTCAAGAATTACTTGCAAAACTCTAGGAACTGAAAATAATTTGAAAAATTGCAATGGAAGTGATACAGATTTTCTAAGTTTAATTAAACAAAGGTTATCTCAGAAAAATAGTAACGATGACATAATATCTACTACAAGATCAAAATCTAATTCTAAAAAATAAATGATAAATATTGGTGATAACGATAGATGTTAGTATGCAATTTCAAATTTCAAGATTTATATTACATATTTTTATATTTTAGCGTGTACATATATCTTTTTTTAACTTGAAGTTTTGTTACCAAGATATTTATTATGTATAGAAATATAAAATATAATAAGTTCACGAATTCCACAATGAAAGACATCTTCCTTCATTTCATGTTTTTAATATTATTGTTATAAATGCTTGTATAATAATTGCATAACAATTCAATAAAAGAAATGTTTAAACAGTAAGAAAACAATATTTATTCTATACTAAATTTTATTTCTCTTATTGCAAGATGTTACATTAACTCATTGATGAATAACAAAAAAAAATTCGTGAATATATATATTTATAATTTAATCAAATTTATTTGCAATTTCCTTGGTTCATGATGCAAAACACTTGTTCAAAGTATAGAAATTTTTTAATTTACACAAATTATTCCTTACTTTTATTACTGCTTAGAATATAAACTTATTATTTAAATATTATATTTACACTTGGAATTAATTACTTCAGTCATATATGTATAAATAATGAAATATAGGTTGAACACTTGTACATGTCTGATCATTCATACAATATCTCATTTACTTATTTATTAAGAATTTCACCGTCCAAATCCACCGTCGGAAAGAGATGTTACTTTCTGTTGTATTATTTTACCATAACCACCTCGTCCACTATCAAAGTCTGATCGATATTCATCTCTCACCTAAAATATCAAATAACATTACATGTCACATCTATATATGTATACATCGTGTCTAAATTAATCTTTCACAAAATATTAAAAATAATTACTTGTCCTCCAGTCTTGCCACGGCCATATTGTCTGCCTTCAATAAAGCCAGCATCCCAATCGGTTCTAATGATTCTGTCGTCTAAACGAGTACCATTTATGTATCTCATACAATTCTCGGAATCGGCTCTTTGATAATATTCAACGAAGCAGAAGCCGCATGGTGTCTTCTTATATTTATCAAGACCCATAATAATACGCCTGATGTCACCACATTTGGAAAACAATTCGTATATCTGTTCCTCGGTAGTATAAAAAGATAGATTGCCAACGTACAAAGTACAAGAATTCCTTAAGAGTCTGTCTTGCTCAGCCCTTGTGCCCTATATAATGAAAAAGAATAAATCAGTTATTCATGAAGTATAAAAAAAACTATTCATCAGATATAAATATACAATTGAATGCAATTAAATCAATTATTTCTAATTCAGCACTTTTCAAATATTGATTATGACAATTAGAACTAAAAATTACAAACTACGTAAATGTAAAAAACAAAAATAAAAATACATATAAGAAACATAAATAAATTGAAATGTACACTGGGTAGTTTGAGGTTAAATATTAAAAAAAAAACCTTAAAATGTTGATCGCGATAGGAACTTAATTCAACTGATGGCGAGCCGGTTGTACTTATTTTGACCGACATTTTCCAATGCTAATTAGCTTAATTTTGCACTTATAAAAATCAATTTCTATCGCAATTCACATCTGCAGAATCCACAGAGCGAAAAGAGAAATGAATACATTCAGTGTGTACTGTAAACGCTCACTTGAGCGCTGCTGATGAGCACCAGTGATAACAACAGAACATAAATAAATTACCAGATATTCAAAGACTTTACGCAACACCTTCTTCATTGAGTTTTAGAACGCGCCAAAGTCTCACTGACCAATCGACGTTCACCTTTTGGAAAATATAATATATAACGGTAGGTAATTTTGATTCTTTCAAGTGCAGCATTTCGAAGCCAGTACTGGCTATATTTATGAAAGCATAGTAAACGTTCTCTTCCATTTTTGATTGGATTCCATTGCGTTCGTGTTAGCAAGGTGAGTGCGATTTATATTTGATATATCAAATGATTATACGCAATGCGATGATTAAAAGTTACATCTTGCCTTATTAACAACTGTATATTAACGACTCATCATTAAATTTTGTGCGTTAGAACCTTTATAATCTGAAAAAGTCATTCAGCATGTGCCTCTGAATTTTTAACCTAAATACGTTGTGTGTTGTGCAGTTTTAGTCATTTTTCGTGATAAATGTCTTCCTTCAGCTAAATACTTGTTTTGTGTTAGATACGTACAAATTTTCATAGAAAAATTTTTTATAAAGAAATTTATTATTATTAATTTAATATTGACTATATATAGAGGAAAGTCCCCTATTATGAGATAGCAGCGTTTCTGCTAAACTAATAAACGCTATCTATTGGTTTCACTATGAATTTATTTTGGATTGAAAACTATTTAGTAAAAAGTTCATTATTAGATCATGCCTGTAGTTATTGTAAAACAAGATTTTAGAATTTGTCTTCAAGTTTTATTGAGATGAGCATTTAAACCTTGTTTATTATTTAATAAATAAATATTTGGCAATAAAATCTTGATGTAGTGATAGAGTAAGGTCGTACTAATAGAAAAATACGGGATATGTTGAATTGTTTAATTATAGAAGTTAGATTTGATGATCGTAAAGCTATAAGGCGTGGAAATCGTAATATGAGATACCCAGGGTATTCCTAATATGAAATATTAGGAATGCTCCTATGTTATAGTAAAAATCGTTGCTAAAGTACAAATGTTATTGTACAATAATAAAAAAGATAACCGGAATAAACATCGAGTGCCTATATCTGCGATGCTTGATTCCAACTACCAGAAAACAAGTTCTAAATATAATCTATTGTATGCTCATTTTTCTCGCACGCTGGCTATGTTTGTTCGTATTTTAGAAAGACATTAAGTATACATTAGTTAGCAAACTTTTAATTAATATTCATGTATGATGTTTGCTGCAAAGATTTTTTTTTTATTAATGTTAGAAGTAGAATATGCTGGATATATTGAAATAGTTTTTGTTAAATAGGTACTATAAAAGCTATATTCAATAGTTAGTATATTAAAATAATAGTTCTTATTAATTGTTTGAATTATATTGCAGGGCTTTTGTGTGTCGCATACAACAACGAGTACTGCAAATATAAGCACCATGCAGCTGCAAATTCGTGGACAAGAAACAACTGTCATCGAATGTCAAAATAATGAAAAGATACAACATATAAAGGTATTTCTGTTTTTAAATAGTATTATTGTAGTACATATAAAATTTATTTTGAATTTGTTTTTGGATATTAATATCCAAGGATATAGCATTAAAATGATAATCTAGCATTGGTTATTTTATAGTGCTAGAACGAGCATTAATGCAAAAATAATATGTAAATTTATATAAAGGAGAAAGTTATATTTTACTTTTGCTTTTGATAAGTTTACTACAATATTTTTTTGATAATTATATGATAAAAATAAAAAATAAAAAATATTTATATATACATACTAACAGCTTAATTGTTTACAGGAAAGAATTGCAAGTCTGCAAAGCATTGAAGATGAATTTCATCTTCATTGCAATGGAAGTTTATTAGCAGATGAAACTTGTGTAAATGAACTTCAATCAGATGTACTTGAGTTGATTGTACCCTTACGGGGAGGTAAGCTAATTTCTAGAAAATAAAATTCACAAATTTAGATTTGTAGCATATTTAAACAGTATTTTAATGTTTTTAATATAGATAGTCAAAACAGGCTCAATCATATTATATAAATATATTTGACATACTTTAATTCTTAAAGGTTATTGTACTTATTATAAAAGACAAAGCACAAAAATGCAGATTGATTATAAAATACTTTTTTTCTTTTCAGGAAAAGTTCACGGTTCTTTGGCACGCGCTGGCAAAGTAAAAGCTCAGACACCTAAAGTAAAGATATATTTTAATCTTGGTTATTTAAATAAATTTATGTCTCGCGGGTTTATTACTTACGAATGAACAAAATATTAATTTTATATATTAAATATATGCCTGCTTTAAAAAAAATAAATTTTGAAATTTTAATCTCATGCGCTATGTATATGTGAAATATAGTATATGTTCATATATTAAATTAATATGTTTTATTAGGTTGAAAAGCAAGAGAAGAGCAAAAAGAAAACTGGCCGAGCTAAGCGACGTATTCAATACAATCGTAGGTTTGTCAACGTTGTTCAAACCTTTGGCCGCCGACGTGGACCTAATGCCAATACAAATTCATAAATGTTATATTTGTTACAATAAATTCGGATAAAATGCCATAATTAACATATCAAATGTGTATTTTATTAAAGATTACCTACACTTATTAAGCTATATGTTTTAATTGCAATAGTGATTAATGAAATGCAGTCTGAATTTAGCATAATTTTATTGAAAATTATTGGAAAAAAAAGAAGTTCCGTTTTAATATGTAGGCACATCACACAACCAAAGAGTTTGAATTTCAGAGTATATGGAAGTACAAGAGTTGTAACCTTATATTCTAAACGACGGTATGAATGATGCTATACACAAAATTCTGGAGTTTACTATTGGGAACATATTTGGTAAAGATATAACTTGCAGAGAACCCGTCCATCGTTGCGACGAATATCAACCGGGTTCTTTGGTGGAATTGGGTAGAACCGGTATTAAAGTATGAAAAAGATATAATTCTTTTCCAAAAAACTATTTTGTTATTTTAATATAAAATTTTACAATCGTATAGAGAGAATTTAAATTAAATTTTTTTATTCAGATATGACAGAGAAATTAAAGTACATTTTGTAAAATAGCGTTTTCAAAAATATGAATTAATTGGAAATATTTTGCGTGAGTGCAAATTTGGAAATTTAAAATCAATTTGAATTATTAAAAGAAAAATCAACAAATTTCTATGAAATTTATGAATTTTAATTAAAAAACAAGCTTCTTTCTTTTGTTTGGTGGCAGATAGTGGCAAATTTCTTCTGTCATATTACTGCAAAATTAAGCACAATTCTTATAATTTTGATACTTTTCAAAATAGTTTTTATCTTTTTAAAGATCATATATATTTTTCTAAGAATGAGATATCTATCTCTCTCTCTCTAAAGTAAGTACAAAATAATATTAATCACAGAAAAAATGTTTAGAAAAATATGATAAAAAAGATTCGATCTTATTATCTGAATTTTCTTTGAATTAGTTGTGATGAACGGAACACAATTCTAAATATTGTTAGCTTAGTTCTTATTTCTCATATTCTGTCATATTCTGCCATATTATCATGTGGATCGATATGGTTAGTGCAGGACAGACAAGTTAGGTTATGGGTTAGTGGCAATTAGTGTTACGCGGTGTGATTGTGTCTTCTGCTAATAGCACGTTGTTTAACAATTTGATAAAAGTTCAAAAGTTTTTGTAATTTATTAATATACGACGACCTGCAATATACAGATATAATTTATATAAGTTTTCGCAAGAAATCGAACAATGGTAATTCTGTGATTATATAAATTTACAAGTCTGTACGAAATATCAAGTATGACACTAAATATGTTTTATTTATCAAGTTTTTCAAGAAAATTTTGATGCCGTGCGGATTATGCGCGATACCTGTAGTAAAACCAACAAATCTGTCGGAAGACAAAATGTCATCCTATAGTAACGAGCCAGGAGTCAAGAAATTAATTCGACCATCCGAACTACCTATTTATTCCTTTGAAGATGATTATTCTAAACAGATCCCATGGTAAAGCACAAGTAATTTCAATTATGACTGTTATATCATAGATGAAGATTCAATTCACAATTAATGAAATATTTCAATCTTGTGATAAACTATTATTAGAGGAGCAAAAAGCGTTATTGAATGTTCCTCATGAAAATTCACATTTCTATCAATTATTTTTGTATGTAATGTTTATAATTAAATTTTCTATAATAGTACAGAATGTCCACCTTCGGCTTTGGAGCAGAACATATCTAAAATTCGCAAGTCAGTTCAAGCGGTTGTATCTGAATATCAACATTATACTGGTGTTATCTCAGATACTATCGACATCGGTTTTGAACACAGCAGTTGTGAGTGTTAAGCATATATTTAAATGTATTTTATACAATTATTTTATTCTACAACATAATAACTTAATTGCTTTTTTGCAGCCCTTTTAGATTATCTACGTGAGGAAAGTAACATTATGCCACGAATGGGAGCTATCGCTATTGGTGGAATAGCTGGATTAGTGCTTGGACTTAGAGGACGTAAATTCAAGCGAATAATGTATTCTAGCGCGGGTGCACTCTCTATGGCAGCTATCTGTTATCCTAAGAAGGCGAAAGAAGGATTCGACATGACTAAACATTACGTGAATGTTGGCTACAATTTTATTTATGGTGGTAATGTATATTAAATTATTTTCAGCAAATTATCTTTTTTATAAACACAATAAATATATATTAAAACGGATGGGAGTCATTTAACTATGTTGCGGTTTATTACAAATCAAACGCAACGTAGTCAAACGACACGTTTCCTATTAAGACTACCAACTTTCATAAAATTGAAGATGGGATATAATTGTCAACGATACGACACATGGATATACCGATACTTTACTATAAATAATTTCAGTCAAACCAGGTGACAATCGACAGCTGCAAATCACAATACCAGAAATGCCGAAAATGCCAACATCTTTTTCGGAATTTGTAGATTCAACGATTGTCACAGGTTCAGCAATGCATCTTTAAGCAGGAACAAGGAGGTAGAATGCAACGAAGAAATTTCTCTATTGCATCACCCCTCCCTTACACCTGCTTCATCTCTATTTTTGAAAATGCTTTAAAAAAGATGTGCTATATCAGTATCTCTTACTACTTATACAGTTCCTTTTCACAACTATTGAATAGTAAAATTAATCTCTTACAAAAATCAAGAAAGAAATAAGTACACGTTATAGAAATAATTATATATTACGGACATATTGCTAATGTATTACAAAATACTGTCACGGTTACCTCCTTTTAAAAAATTGCTATGTACTTAGCTTATGCAAACGTTGATCAAGATACGACAAAACCTGTTCACTACGTAACATTTCGTAACACCAAGGAAATCTCTGAACCCATAAATGAAACGTCACCCGCGCCTTTGACAGATAAAAAGACAAATACTCGAAGAAACTGATTTTGATAAAAGCAAACTTAGGTGTTTATGCTTTCTTCCTGTCATATTTCTTGCTGATAATTTTTGTCTTGCTTGTTTGTGTAATAATCTCACTTTAATCAACTTTACTTTATAGCTATTGTATTTATTTTTTGCCATTTATATTTCAGGAAAACCAATCGACAGCCAAATTAGACACTAAGCAAGATTAGGCGTTTTTCAACAATAATAGTAGCAAACAATAATATAGCAAAGAATGTATAAAAGTTTTATTAATTTTGGAAAAATTTTAATTATTTTGGAAAAAATTATTAATTATTGAAATAATAAATCGTACTCCATAACATATATGAAACATTGTATTCTATCTTATATTTTTGTGTGAGTAAAGTAGTATCTGATGACGCATATATCACACATCCCTCTCGGTTAGAAATGAATAAAACTTGCTTTATACGTTATATTTTTTATATCATTTTTCGTATATATATATATGTATGTGTATATGAAAAATAATATAAAAATTAATGTGTATTGTGTATGTGTGTGTGTGTGTGTGTATTGTAATATAGTGTTATTATTGTTTTATATAATGTATATAAAACAATAAAATTCTTTTTAGAATTAAAGTTTAAATTCATTTTAGAATTAAAGCTTAGAATTATGATTTGTTTTACCTTGTCTATTAATTTCAATATTTTTGACGAATTCGAGATTTTTATTTAAAAAAATTTCTTGAAAATATAAAAATTATTTCTTTATTATACGGGAATGGTTTATTCATGTACATCATATTAGTTGCTAAAGTTAATAGACTTTCTACAATAAGCCATTAAGTATATATAAGCTGTAAATCTTAATCCATAAGAAATTGATCAATCAAATGCGAGAAGAATAATCGACAATAATTGGTCAATTTCTCATGACTTAAGATATAAAGATTATGTAATTGGCTTATTGTAGAAAGTCCATAAAATACATGCAAGTCTTTCTAAGTAGAAGTTGAAAAAATAGAAATATTTGTGCGGGATATGATTCGGCGCGAGGCGCAGCCGCATCTCGTTTTATCGACTGGTTATTCCCGGCACTGCTCAACTACGGGATTTCGATCCTCCTCACCCTGGCACAAGACCAAAACGGCACTCGAAACCTGCGCACTTGCAGCCTCTGCATGAGGACAGTCAATCTAACGTGCGCCCTTAGGAAACACAAACCGCTGCGTAGATCATGAAAGGGGCGCGCGCACATCTTTACCCCCTACTATCTTGACCTGTTCTTTACACGGGTCAACACGCGAACCACCGTGAGAAGTGCAATTATATCGTAAATACAATTGCTCTTTCTCTCGTCCTTCCTCTCTCTGTGTCATTATCCGGGATGTGCAAGTCGATGATCAGTTGCGAGCTCCGAAGCGTGTCACTCCTCTACGAAGCAGTGTGAAGAGATAATGAATTTGGAGAACGTTCGCTCAGATTCATTTCGGGGGATCCTCGATTGCAGATATGACGCTCGTTCGTTATTTTTCGAGGAGGGTACTCCTTCAGCTTCGTGTTGTGTGACGCACTGTGACGCACAGTGAAAGGGTTGCTGTCGCAACGCCCGTACTACTAGTCGGATGCTGTAAACCCGATATACTTTCGTCAATCGTTATTTTTTTTTCTGAGCAGAAAGATCGAAAATTTTTTTTAAATATTACATGAATTTAGTGTTTAGAAATGTATGAAGAGAGCTATTATAGGAACGATGCAGCGATAAATATTATACTAGGCAGTATGTGACTTTCGCGAAATTTAACAGATTGGTGAATCAAGGTGTTACAATTCAGGTAGGTTTTTAAATTAAATAAAAGAAGCATATATCGATCCCAGATATTTTTTAATTAAGATTTATTATTAGACGTAATAAGATATTTCTGTTGATAATATCCTTATTTTTATTGATAATCACGATTGATAATAAAAACATCAGTATTATTATTTATATTATAAATAATAACAGAGAATTCGTGATCTACTTTTTGTGTTTTCATCTCTCCGCGTTTCTATCCGACATTCGAGATTGACATATAGGAGACAATATCTTACCGATATCCCCTTCTCAATCACCCTCTCGAGTATCCGGCAATAGGGGGGTGACTGTTATATATACCGTTAAATAGACCGTAGTGACATGCTGTCTCGTGTGCCAGTCTTGAACAATAATATTTTTAATTCGAGAACTCTATCGTTCTTTGATATTTTGTTGGAAAAATATCAATTAAAAATTGAAAGAATCTAGCTGTGGATGTATAAAAAAAATAGTCCGTTAGGTTTGCGGGATAAATTTTTTATCGTAATTAGATAATTGGCCACTGGGATCGATGCTGTGGAAACTTTACTCACGCGAGAAAAATTGCGCAAAAGAATATATTAAGATATATCGAGACCTTTCTCCAACACCGTTTGTATTCAACAATCAAGGATATTATGCTAAATTTCATATATATATATATATATATTAATCTAAAATATTAGAGCTAGACTCATAAAATAAAAGACAATTATTTTGAAATTTTCTTGCGGCTCGATTTCTTTCTTCGAAGTTATATTTTGGATATCAAGCGTAAAATTTAATTGTTTTTATTTTGCATAAAGTTAGACTCTTTAGAACTATCGTAATACTTATTTCATCTTACATATATCGTGATTACGTTATTATACTTTAATTACTCAGACTTAGTCTATTTACTTACATGATGGAAAAATTTCGCTGAAATTATTCCGCACGTTTTGGAGTACTTATCAGTAAAATTTCAGTGATTTTTAGTTGAAAAGTTCATTTTCATCAAAATTTTAGCAAAATTTCAGAGAAATTTCAGTAAAATTTCGCTGAAATGTTCCAAAAAACGTGAGATAACTTTAGCGAAATTTTTTTCACCAGGGATTTATATTTAAAGCAATGCTTTTAACATATTGTACAAAAATGTGTTTCACGTAGAGTGGATATGGTAACTATGAACTCCGAAAAATCGGCTTGCCGCCGAAAACCAATAGAGAAAAGTAGCAGCAGCAGTAGCAGCAAGAAGGCGACCGAGCATGTCGATGAAGTAGATAAAAAGAATGAGGACGATCATACAAATGATTCCCCAGATTTATCCCCCAATACTCCTACGTACAACGTCACTGCCTCTTGCGCCGAAGACACCCCTAATTACCTCGTCTACAAAAAGGTATTATCACGGATGAAATCGAAGAATTTAATGTTATTAAAATCTAATAATAGAAATATCTGTTTGACTTCAATGCAATTTAAATTATTATTCTCAAGTATTTCTTAAATAATTTGTCTTTTAAACCAAACGATATATTGCTTAGTTTCCAAGCATCATTATATTACAAACGAAATAACTGTATTCTTTTTTTAGATGGAATCGATCGTGGAAAAGATGTTGGACGAATTTACCGGTGTGCCCGTGAAAACAGTCAAAACTTTCATGACGAAGACGCCGTCTGTTTTCACAGGTAAAAGTGTAGTAGAAACACTTGTGTTTTAGATACTATATTTTATATATAACGTTATAAGTACAAATCTTTTATTGTCAATTTAAAAAGAAAAGCGAAATATACGAAAATGGAATTTTTTAAGCTTTTTTGAAGGCATAAATTTCGACCAAGCATTATTATTTATAATCGAAGATGACAAATAAAATAATTATATATAATATATATATTTCAGGCACAGATCTTATAGCATGGATGATGAAGAGCATGGATATAGATGATCAAGGTATAAATTTGTTTTTAATTTATATTAATTCTTAGATTTTATTCATGATTAATATAATCTGAAAAGTAATATATTGATATATTAATCCAGAGGCTCTTCACGTGGCTCATCTTATGGCATCCCATGGATATTTTTTTCCTATCGACGACCACTGCCTTACCGTAAAGAGCGACAACACATTCTACAGGTTTCAAACACCGTATTTTTGGCCATCGAATTGTTGGGAACCCGAAAATACTGATTATGGTAATATATAAAAGGATATTAATATTATCGTTAATGTAATTTCATCTGTCATTTATATCGCAAATGACATAAATAACAATAATTAGAACATATTTAATAAATATATAAATTTTCACACTCGTTAGTGCGTATCACGTTAAATGTTACAGCTGTCTATTTATGCAAAAGGACGATGCAGAATAAAACGCGATTGGAATTGGCGGATTACGAGGCGGAAAATCTGGCTAGATTACAAAAGATGTTTTCGCGAAAATGGGAATTTATTTTTATGCAGGCAGAAGCGCAAAGCAAAGTTGACAAGAAAAGAGACAAATTAGAAAGGAAAGTCCTGGATAGCCAAGAGAGAGCCTTCTGGGATGTACATCGACCAATGGTAATTCTTCTTAGAATAATAAAGTTGAAATAATAAAGAAAAGAATATTTACATATTTTCTTATTGATAAAATATCGGGACGATAATTTTTACGTTATAAGTACGTAATAAATGGGAGGAAAATTTTTTATTAAAGAAATACATATCAAATCTCACATTACATTTCAGCCTGGATGCGTAAATACTACGGAGATGGACATTAAGAAGGCTTGTCGCAGTTATAAAACTGTTATACAACCAAGTAAGCATTTGCAACTGGGCGTCGCAGGTGGTAGAATATCTCCGTCTGCAGAATTGAGTGCGACCTCATCGATAGAATTTTTGCAGAAGGAGATCGAGACTCTGAAAGACAGATTGGATAAGCCCGTCATCAAGGTCTCGAAAGTAGCAGAAGCGTATGTCAATAGAATTTGTTTATCTGTTTAGCAAAGTAAACCAAGGAATATATATGTATATGCATTTGCATTAATATTTGTTAGTTAATCGAGATTTAACTCGAGGTTGTTTCTATAAAACAGCGAAAGTAAAAGTATCTGTTCCACATTTTATCTTGCGTTCGATGATGTAATAATATTACATTTATTTAAACTTCGCTAAATACATATATTATATGCGTTTATAGTTTATAGGCTAATCAATATGCGATATTTTTAGTTTGATCGGGTACTTTGAACAATACATGGAATACGATCCCTTTATCACCCAACCGGAGCTCACAAATCCATGGATTTCCGATAGTCCGGAAATGTGGGAGCAGGAGAAATTAGCGTAAGTACATTGTCGCTATGAAAAAAATAGTATTTTGCAGTATTCACGATAAATATCATCTAATATTATATATTATGAGTATTTATATTTACGGATACGTAGGAAAGAAATATCCACGAGAAGAGTAAAGAGGTGGGCATTCAGTCTTCAAGAACTCCTACAAGATCCCGTTGGTAGAGAACAATTTATACGCTTTTTAGATAAAGAATTTAGCGGCGAAAATCTCAAGTACGTATTACAATTGCCACGTAAGCTTAAACTGTTTTCTTTAGATAAATATTACTATTTTATTTATATTTTTATACTTATGTATACTCTATCTACACACATAATACGATATTGAATTTGCATCAGGGAGACGAGATCATTTATGATATGTGCAGATTTTGGGAAACCGTTCAGGAATTGAAAACTTTACCGCAAAAAGACGTCCAGACGAAAGTCGAAGAGATATGGCGTGAATTTTTGGACACAGATGCAAGTTGTCCCATCAATGTCGATTCTCGATCCTACGAGATTACCAAAAAAAGTCTTGAAAAACCGGACCGATGGTGTTTCGACGTTGCTGCGGTATAAATTTAATTTATTAATTATTTAGTTACATGTGTCATATAAACAAACGAGGGAAAATTTAATCAATTTAAAAAGATTAAATTTTAAAAAATTATTAAACTTTTATTTACTTTTTCTAAGATGAGAAAATTATTTGAAACAGATCGCGTTCAAAATATAGTATGATTTTTTCTCGAATTCGATTTATTTAAAACAATTTTTTATTTTTATATATTATTAACTCTCTAGTTTTTATTATTGTTATTTTCTAGGCGCATGTATATCATTTAATGAAAAGTGATAGTTACTCGAGATATTTACGCTCGGAAATGTATAAGGATTTTCTTAATGGATCTAAGAAAAAGGTAATTTCTTTTTTCTTTATGAGATTATTACGATAATTTGAAATGTATCATCACTATTTAAATCATATAATTAATAAGAATTATCTTATTCTTAATGTTTCAGACTTCTGTAAAAGGCATTCGCTCTATCGTTTCCTTCACAGGACGAAGAGACACAACAACTTCGTAACCTGCCACTTTTTAGCACTTGTTATAATCTTACATCTCTTCTTGCCATTCCGCTTTTTTTTTGTTTCTGTCAAAAATTGCATAAAGCTGTCAACAAAAGTAATCAATTTCAGTTTTAAAAATAATTTTTTCTATTTAATTTTATCGTACAATACCAACACACCTATAATTAAATATTTTATATCGATAATAATTATATACGATAACTAAGATTGCTTAAAATCTTATCAAGGAATCGTAGGCTTTTCAAATTTATTATAACAAAAGATTGACCACAAATCAATTTTTGCATTCGTCCAATATCTCACATTTATTATTTATGACATTTGTCATAATTATGATCTTTTATTGTCATAAATTTAAAATTAAATATTTTGAAATTGAACATTTTTTTCATTATTTTTATTTAACGAATAGTTATCTGAACGTTTAATTGTAAGAACTTAAAATTTTAAAAGAAGAAAACGCGCTAAAACACAAATTTTTAACACAGAAAATTAATCAAAATCAATTATTTCAAGTTTTCGAAATTTAATAGTGAAAATATATTGGAGATCATATTTTCGTCATATATCCATATAGATGCACGTTTATTTTGTTAGGAAATACATTTAATATTGCGGCATACTTTTGGATAAGTAGAAATAATGCGTGTAAATAAAGCGTTTTCTTAATCCGCGCAATGCATTAGATATATTAAATTAATTGTAATAGCGAATTGAGAAATTAGGGGAATGTTAGAATACAAATTGTCAGACATAAATTAATTGTACAATCGAAGACTATATATCTTCAACAAATGAAGCAAGAGAATTGAGCTAAAGACACGCACAGATATGTACAGAAATATATTTTGCATATAGCTTTAATCTCAACATTGCCCAAATTTTAAAGATTACAAAAGACCATTCAATGTATCCTTCTTTTTCGTTCAATATACACAAAACTTGTGTCAGAAAAATCGCAAGACTAAGTTAAAATATTAAAATTACAATAAAATTAAATAAAAAGAGTACTTATTAGTATTTATTTCATTCAAAATATTTCTTTATCTTCTATTTTCGTGCATATTACATATGTATATTATATATCGATGTCTTTTATACTGCAGTTTATGATTTTTATGACAATAACGAAAGAATCTTTTTTTAAGTTATTTTTGGTTATTGCGTCATTCCAATTTAGATTATAAAAAGAATTATAGAGAAAGAAAGAGGAGAAAAGAGAAACACTGATTGAAAGTCATAAGAAATATTTAGAAATGTTAACATCTCTATTATGCTTATGGTCCTCATAATTTCACTATGTATAAGTTACATTTATTATTACATATTTTCGATTATTCAACATTTAGTATAATCGAATATTTATTGCCGTTATATGATTTAATATTTAAATGTCTCTTAACTGTGAATGTCATTCAAACTACTAGCAACTTTCCTGATCACTTTGGCACAAAGTCGTTTAACGGAAGTACTCCTGTAGTACGTACGTATATGTAATTATTCACGTCATTTTCTAACGTTTTAGATATTTTTATTCATAAGATAAGTTTTTAGTAGATATTTCTCAATGATATTATTTTGTTACTGGCAGTAAAAATTATTTTTAACAATAAACTTATATTAATATGTAGGCTACGAATCAAACAATAATAGTTTGATGTGTGCACGTTTCAGAAAGGCTCGTAGAAACCAGAAGATTTAATAAGTAAAGAAAGAGAGAGAGAGAGAGAGAAACACTGTAAAAATATTTATATCATATTTGTTAGAAAAATATTTTACAAAATATTCATTTTTCATGTGGTATGGTATAAAAATTATTACTAATATACATAATATATCTATTCTATTAATGAATAAATTTGCGAATAGATATTTCTTTCATCTTAGATAACAATTTCACTTTTGCTAAAGTACAACATTATTCTGTCTCCAATGATGGCTATTCATGTTTATACAAGCCTTTGTCACATGACAATTTATGTAGCAATAATGGCACGAATCGTGGAAAATACTTGTCGTAATGATAAATATCTGCTGTGCAGATAACTATGTACATGGTCATGTTGGATTTGTGGATACAAAGCTCGATTATTCACGTCTAATATTAAAATTAAATTTTACGAGCTTTTCTTCTTAAAATACAAATATCAAAAACAAGTGTCAATTCGCCTAGAAATATACAATGATTCAAATATTTCACAGTTTAAAAGTATCTAAGGATATTGTTGGGCATTTTCAACAACGCAACCATCGCAATTGTAATACATAAAGTCTTGTAAAATGCTTAAATTGGTTCACCGAAAAGCCTTCGTCGAAGCTGTGCACAAATTACCCGCGCGAATTTTATATCGCTAATTCTATATCCTTTTTATTATTTCTTTTGATAAGCGGCACTACCGCCCAAAGTGCAGTGCCTAAAATTAAGATAATTCCGAAGGCTAAAAAGATCGGCTTATAGGATAGTATGTTCTCGAAAATAACACCACAAATAGGCGGTCCGATGAGCTGTAGTACGCCATTAATGAACAACGAAATTCCATAGGACGAACTGAGTTTTTCCGTTCCCAACATGTCCGCGAGGATGACGGTCGTGATGCCGATATACATTCCTGATGACAGACCAAAGAGACCACAGAAGAATGACAGCATAGTGTAGCTGGTCGCCATTGGTAATAACGCCAAAGCGATCCCACTGGTACCGAGTCCGCCTACGAAGTAATAATACTTGGGTACGAAGTCAATATCGGATAAGGATGCACCACTGATCCTGCCGATCAGATCTAATGCTGAGACTATGGACAGGAGCAGAGCCGACGAGTTTTTGTCGAAGCCTTCGGCAATCGCGTAAGACGGCAATAGGATCATAAAATTCGTATTGCTGATGGCTGATGTGGAGTTGGAGATGAGAATCACTATGTAAATGGGATCCTTCAGCACGCTTAGATCGAAGAAGGGAGTTTTTTTGTCATCATGTCTTTTCGATGTTTTGGTCGACTTCGACCACACATCGTCCCGTTTAGGTTCCTCGTCGCGCACCCTGCTATCTTCCTTCGGGTTCTTTCCGATTTTCAAGGGATCTAATTGCGAATTAACATCTTTCTCAGTAACAGCACTGCCTCGTCGCGATAAATTCTGCGTGTCGCTATTCGGATCATCATCATCCTCCTTAGCATGACTCGGACGAATCGTCATGCGAAATTCATTCGCATTTGGAGTATTTTCACGCGGAATCTCGTCCCTGATAACATCGTAGCGTAATCCCACGACTGTATCATTCGTTTTGTAATCCTGCAGTTTCTTCTCAGGCTTACAAGATGCTTTCTCAGGCTTACAAGATGCCTTCTCAGGCTTACAAGATGCCTTTTCGGTGGTCTCCAGTACCACGTTGTGCTGGTTGTGCGAAAGATCCGAAAACTTGCGTATTGGTTCGTCATCACCGAATTTTGCGTCCTCTCCCATTTTTCCAGCCGATTCCTGTTTTCCACCAATCGACTCGTCGAGAGTCAGCGCTTCATTATCGATACCCTCATCCAGGGGCACGATTTTCATGTGTTGCTCGACCGGATGATACAAGAGACCGCAGACCAGCGTATTCAGCGTGATCGCACCCATGATGAGTACAGCTCCTCTGAAATGTGACAATGAGAAACCTGATTTAAGTAAGGTATGCATCCAGTTTTATTTTTAAGGGGCGAGAAAGAAATAGTTTAGATAAACCTTCAATTTGGATCGTTGGTTGTATTTCTTTTATATTTTCTTTAGGATTTATTAAAGTTTTATTTGTTGGATTTTTTCTCTATTACTAAACACATAGAAAGGAGGAATTAGAATTTCCGAAATGATGAGGCTTCATTGTACGACGTCTGCGAGACCTTTCTTGAAACGAAGATTTTGGCGTAGGTTTGCGAAAGGTTTTGTGTCGTGTGGCTTCCCAAACCGCTTCGGAGTGCACTTCTACTTTCCGATCCCTCGAAAGCAGTTGGAACTATGTATAAAGTCTTTTGTGGAAGCGCTCTCGGTAGAATAGATATCTTGTTCTCGAACCGGAGCCGAGAGGAACATCTGAATAATTCACATTCGGTTTTTCTAATAAATGCTCCTCTATGTTCTCTTAATAAATAATTATTATCAGAGGTATAGAATGTCTTAGTAAATTACCTGTATCCAAAGCAGTCCAAGAGATGTTGCAGTAACGGTGGTAGCACTATAGTGCCGATTGCGCTACCGGAAATACATAGACCGTTCGCCATCCCTCGTAGCTTCTCGAAGTATTGCGTAACGATGTAAACCGTCGGAGGAAATGATAATCCAGCGCCGATTCCAACCATAAGACCATAACTACGTATCAAAAGAATAAAAATTGTTATTTCTATAAAACTTGCAAGAAATACTATATATAGAAACGTTATTTTTTAGTTCTTTTTCTGCAAAGGTGTTTCATGTAGCACTTTAATATACATTTTGAGTATGATATTAAATCCTTGACATATAGACAACATATAGAGAACAGGCTTTATCAGTTCGCAGAAGTTGTGTAATGTTCGCAAATCAAGACCTTTCTTATTAATTGATTCAATAACCGGCCTTGTTACACAATAATTTGGCACCGTTTCGCCATAGAAGTTATTGAAATTACAACTGTTAACAACTATGTTTGCCTATTAATTTGCGACGTCTCTCGACAAAAAAAACTATACCTGATGTAAAGATAAGTAACTGAATTGGCAAAGTAGCTCAGCATCATGCCGCTGGCCGCAAAGGTGCCGCCGATGAGAGTTACTGTTCTATAGGAGTATTTGGTCGATAGAATACTAGATAAAGGACCTGCAAAATATTATAAATGATACTTTTATAGAATATATCAAGTAATATTTTTATTTACCTTAACGTATTAAAAAGTATGCATTGAAAGTAAAATTTTGTTCGTAAAATAGTATCAATTTTTGTGTATCTATTTATACATAATTAGAAATTACGTATCTGTGAACACAAACAGTGATTTTGTGTTTTCGTAGAAAATAAGCGACTCAAATGTGAAATATCATCGCAAAAAGAGCTGCTTACCTAACGAGCTGTACAGGAAGTAGCATAACGCTGGCATCCAGGAAGCCGCCGTGGACGACGCCTTAAAAACGTGCAGAAACTCGACGAA